TAAGAATCAATATGGAGACCCCTTGCACATAGGGAATCAATATGTGGAGGTCCCTCCACAGACGGAATCAACATGTGGAGGTCCCTTCCACATAAGGAATCAATATGTGGAGGATCCCCCTGCAAAAGGAAACATATCATCTTTCTCCTCCTCATCTTTCTCCTCCTACTCCTTCTGATCCTTCTTCTCCTCAACCCCTGCGCCGGAGTGAGAGAAGGAGGGGGAGGAGGAGCAGAAGGAGGAGTAGGAAAAGGAGATCGCCCGCCACAGAACGAATCAATATGTGGAGGTCCCTCCACAGACGGAATCAATTTGTGGAGGCCCCTCCACATAAGGAATCGACATGAAAAGGCCCATCCACATAAGGAATCCATATGTGCAGGCCCTTTCACATAAGGAATCATTATGTGAAGGCCCCTTCCACATAAGGAATGAACAAGTTGGAGGCCCCTCCACATAAGAAATCAATATGGAGATCCTTGCTCATAAGGAATCAACATGTGGAGGTCCCTCCACAGACGGAATCAACATGTGGAGATCCCTTCCACATAAGGAAACAATATGTGGAGGATCCCCCACAAGAGGAATCAGGCCCTTTCCAACATAAGGATTCAACGAGTGGGAGGCCCCTCCACACAAGATATCATTGTGGAAGCCTCTTGCACATATGGAATCATTATGTGGAGGTCCCTCCACAAATGGAAGCAATATGTGGAGGCCCCTTCACATAACGAGTCGATGTTTGAAGGAACTTGGAAAGACGAACATATGCAGAGAAGTCGGATCAGCGATAAACGAGTAGAAGGAACGACAATGATAATGAAGAGTAGGAGGGACAATACAGAGTAGAAAGAACGAGGGCGGTAAGGAAGCTTGCGAAGGGGAAGAAGATGACGAGGCCCTGCAACGGAGAAGGGTGGGAGGAAGGAGGATGGACGAGGGGTGAGGGAGGAGGGAGGATCGGGAGGATAACGAACATAATCAAAAGGAGAAGGAACGAATCATAGAAAGAAATGCAGCGGGAAGGAACGACACCGATGCGGACGGAGAGTGGGCAGCATACGAGGGGGAGGGCTGACAAAGAAAGAAGTGGGAAGTAGCGAAGACAAGGCGAATGGAGAAGATGGGAAAGGAGAAGAGGAGGAGGAGGAGGAGGTTGGAGGAGGAGGAGGAGGAGGCGGAGGAGGAGGAGGAGGAGGAGGAGGAGGAGGGAGGAAGAAGAGGAGGATAAGGGGGGAGGCACAGGGGGAAATGAGGAGGATGAGAGGAGGTGGAGGGAGAGGGGCAGGAGGAGAGGGAGGGGAAGGAGGAGGAGGAGGAGGAGAAGGAGGAGGAGGAGGAGGAGTAGAAGGAAAACAATACAGAGAAGAATGGAGGAAGAAGGAGGAGAAAGGATGAGGGGGGATGATGGGGAGGGAGATGAGGAGAAGGAGCAGGAGGATGAGGAGGAGGAGGAGGAGGAGGAGGAGGACGACGACGACGAGGACGACGACGACGAAGCCGACGATAAAAAACGAAATGTATGATCACAGGGGGGGGGGCGAACATACATATATATATATATATATATATATATATGTATACACATTTAGATATGTCGATATATATATATATATATATCGGTATACATATACATATATAAATATATACAGACACAGCTGTATAGATATTGATCGATAGATATACAGCTAGATCCATATATAGCTATATATACATATATGTATACAGATGGTTCGATCGATATATCTATATATTTATAGTATATAGACAGATAGATATATAGACATATACATAGATAGATATATAGATCGATCGATAGATATACAACCTAACTCCCGAGCTCGCTCGCCAAGGCGGCGGCTACTCGGACGCCCTGGCAGTGCGCGCGGCCGCGGCGGCCGACGCGACGCCTCCCGCGGAGGACGGGGCCGCGGTGTCGCCGGCGGCGCCGCAGACAGGCGCGCTGCCGCCGGTCGGCTCGGAGGCTCCCAAATGGGGCCGGAGGCAGAGGAGGAGGAGGAGGAGGAGGAGGAGGAGGAGGAGGAGGAGGAGGAGGAGGAGGAGGAGAGGGACGAGGAGGAGGAGGAGGAGGAGGATACGATACGATACGAAAGCAATTGAGGTCGATGAACTCCGTCTTCGCAGTTTCGCTGCACAGACGCCTCGACGCGTAAAGCAGGGCTGAAGACGCAGCAGGATATGAAGGGACTTAGCGTCCGTAAAACATATCTGACATATCTGACCCTATGCGGCTTACAGCCATCCTCTCAAAATCCTATGAATCGTGGCCCTGCGACGGCCCCATAACCGCTAGGCCGCGAGGAACGCTGTGGCGGGGAACGGCCCCGCAGCGACCCCGCTGGCACTAGCAGCACTCTCAGGCGTACTTGCCCTTCCCCCGACCCCGCCCCCCGTCCTCACGACGACCAGTCCCCCTCTTCCCTTTTTCTGAGAGTGGCAATAATCAATTGCCAGCAATAGAACTCTGACTGATGGCCCCACGCGCGGCCAGCTCTCGAGAGCGAACGCTAGAGGCGAAGGCAGGAGGCGGGCGCACAGGCTTCACTTCTGACCTCTCCTCTTGAGCATGTTGCTGACCTGGCGCTCGAGCGGGCCCTTCGGCGCTGAGCCAATCAGCTGGATGGCCTGCAAGTCCTCGAGTATGAGATCGAAGAGCTCCATCACCGCCGCCGAGCTCGGGTTCGGGGCCATCGAGAGCTGCAGCCGAGCTTTGCCCTCCATTCTCTTCGAGCCCGGCCCTCTTGGCGCGCGGATAGAGAGGTGCCTGACGAGCGAGGCGATGTACTGCGAGCTCTTCTCCTTGACGTGCGTGTCGTGCAACTCCTTGGCTTTGTTGCCAAGGAGGAGGAGGAGGAGGATGAGGAGGAGGAGGAGGAGGAGGAGGAGGAGGAGGAGGAGGAGGAGGAGGAGGGGGGGGAGGATGGAGGGGGAGGAGGGGAGGGAGGGGAGGTGGAGGAGGAGGAGGAGGAAGAGGAAGGATGGGGGAGGGGGAGGGGAGGGGGAGGGGGAGGGGGAAAGGGGGAGGGGGAGGGGGAGGGGGAGGAGGACGAGGAGGATGAGGAGGAGCAGGAGGAGGAGGAGGAGGCGGAGGAGGACCAGTGTAAACACAAGACTCCTCAACGATGTTGAAATACGCCCCCCTCCATGATCCCTTGTCAATGTGCCCCTGCAAAGGTGTCATGCCCACTGAAGGAATTGTCCCGTCGGGGGACAACAGTGTGAACATCTTGAGGCGTGCCAGGACACCATTCTCAAGACTTGCACGACACGAGTTAACCTGACTCTCACGTCTTGGTGATCCTGGGTCGTGCCAGAGAGCCAGTCCTGGGATTTCAGCATCGCGACTCAACGTGACTGTTGCGCCCTGACAGTCCAGAATCGTTCCAAAACACAATTTCGAGTATGTTAACCATTGGGGTCAGTGAAACTCTTGCATGTGTTTGAAACTAATTTGCGCGGAGCCCAGGCGAGGGGCACATTTTACGCCTCCAATCCGTGAAACAGTTGTGCGCTCATTTGAACGAATGTGCGCGCCTCTAAGGCGAGAGTCACACTTTGAAAACGGCCCGTCCTCAGTCCGTGAAACTCTTGCAGTTGTTTAGAACGAATGTGCGCGGCGCTGAGGTTTCGATTCAAATTTTTAGAACTCGTGTGAAACTTGAGAAGCCGTGATACTGGTGCAAACTTGTTGAAACGAGTGTGCCCGGCGCTAAGGCGAGAGCCACATTTTGAAAACAACCCGCCCTCAATCCGTGAAGCTATTTCAATTTGTCCCAGCCATCCTGTGGTGTTGGGTCCTCGTTTTGAAGAGACGGTCCCCGCTTTCCTCCTCTCCTCATCTTCCCCCTCACCCCCCTCCTCCCTGCTCCCGTCACACCCTCACTTTGGCACAACCCTCACACGTTTCGTTGCCCCATAGGGAGCTCCACCGAGGGCCCCAGTGCTACCGCCCGCATGCGTCCCCCACACCCAGTACAGACTTTTCGTGGCCCCATAGGGAGCTCCACCGACGGCCCCAGTGGGGGTGCCCGCCTGTCCCCCCCCACGCAATACAGCGTTTCGTTGCCCCATACGGAGCTCCATCGAAGGCCCCTGTGGGGGTGCCTGCATGCGTCCCCCCCGCCCGCTACAGCGCTTCGTGGCCCCATAGGGAGCTCCACCGAAGGTCCCAGCGGGGGGTGCCCGCATGCGTTACCCCCCACCCAGCACAGCGCTTCGTGGCCTCATAGGGAGCTCCACCGAATGCCGCAGTGGTGCCGCCCGCATGCGTCCCCCCCACCCAGTAAAGCGTTTCGTGGCCCCATAGGGAGCTTCGCCGACGGTCCCAGTGCTACCGCCCGCATGCGTCCGCCACACCCGGTACAGTGTTTTGTGGCCCCATAGGGAGTTCCATCGAAGGTCCCAGCGGGGGGGTCCGCATTGCTCTCCACACCTAGTACAGCGTTTCGTTGCCCCATACGGAGCTCCACTGAAGGCCCAAGTGGGGTGCCCGCATGCGTCCCCCCCACCCCGCTACAGCGCTTCGTTGCCCCATTCCGAGCGCCACCGAAGGTCCCAGTGCTGCCGCCCGCATGCGTCCCCCCCACCCAGCACAGCGCCTCGTTGCCCCATACGGAGCTCAACCGACGGCCCCAGTGCTGCCGCCCGCGTGCGTCCCCTCCATCAAGTGCAGCGTTCCGCTGCCCCATAAGGAGCCCCACCGACGGCCCCAGTGCTACCGGCCGCACGTTACCCTCGACCCACTGCAGCGCTTCGTGGCCCCATAGGGAGCTTCACAGGAGAAGATGTTCACAATTGCGGTACTCACAATTGCATATGTATGGGTCTTTCGCCAGGATGATTTAGAACGAATGTGCGCGGCGCTGAGGCGAGAGCCACATTTTGAAAACGATCCGCCCTCAATCAGTGAATTTGTTGTTTGTTTGAACGAGTGCGCGCGGCGCTAAGGCGAGAGCCACATTTGGAACATTACCCGCCCTCAATCCGTGAAGCTCTTTCAAATTTTCAGAACGAGTGTGCGCGGCGCTGAGGCGAGAGCCACATTTTGAAAACCACCCGCCCTCCATCTGTGAAGCTGTTGTTTACTTTTCAGCACCAGGATCCCGCTTCGTGAGGAAGTCTCAAAGAGAAACGCCCGGCCCGCCCTCTCGACAGGCCTCGGGGTGCTACAGGGAGGAGGTGTCTTTCAGGAGAAGAAAGGAGGAGGTGGAGGAGGAAGAGGATTCGGATTCGGATTCGGAACGATTGCGAAGCAATATTATCAAAACACCTGCAACCCCTGAGCTTCCCGTCGAAGGAGATGGACTGGAGGAGCGCCTGTGTGTGGATAGCGTACGCCGAACCTGCTGATTTCCCAATCGGGAGAAAACCAGTGTTCACCATATTTCAGAAACTGATCATGTCCCTCCACCGGCCACAAGAGACGACGCTTTCTGCACACAGTGTGTACTGAGGGCAAGGACCATTGAACACCAGTTGAACGAGGGAAAGAGTGCCAAGCCGTCGGTGCTGTGCATTCTAGCCAAAACGAGAAATGGATATGCACAAGGAGAAGGCCATCATGGGGCACGCGAGGCCCATACAGATTAGCAGCGAGCGCACATCACCCTTGAACAACAAAATGCCCGATCCCAAACTTGTACTGCCGTGACACTATGCACCGTACACTGCCATTGAGCCATGCACAAGCAAAACAGGAAAGTGTTGCCGGACTCCAGAGATAGCAAAATACACCAGCACCGTCTAAAGGCGAGCACCACTGAGAACTGTATTGAAATGCCAGCCGCTCCACACTTGGTGTGGAGCCGCAAGTGCGACGCCCCTAGCTCGCCGACCACCAAGGAGGGCACAATACCCACCAACAGCTCCCAGTTTGCACCGCCACCCGAACGTGCCAGAAATGCTCCCAGTGGCCACACCACCATGAAATGTACTGCAGCGCCAGCCTCTCAACCCCTGTGGTGAGCCACAAGGGCGGACCCCTGGCTCTCCGACCACCAGGGAGGGCAGAATACCCACCAACAAACCACAGCTTGTGAAATAACCAGAAGCAAGCCACTCTGAAACGACAACACCTTGAACGCTGTATTGAAATACCCTCCAGCTGGTTTGCAACTGCCCAAGACCCATTGACGTACCTGCCGAAACAAAACAGGATCGATGAGCAGAGCCAAACACGCCTGCAAGACACAAATTACAGCACTGATGAACGGCAGTTGAACATACTCTGAAATGCGCGATCCCAAGCCTCCGAAACACTGGATGGACTCACAGAAGAAATGCACGTCGCAAAACTCGCCACGAACACATGCCGCGGTGCCTCTAATGACATGAGAAAGCCTGGCCCCGTACCCGCACCACCAGTCCAGCGCAAGGCAGCCCACGCGGAAGCCCGAGAAGACGAACGTGCCGAACAAGGGGATGCGACGCATGGATGAGCACGTCAAGGAAACCGAATTCGCTCTGCTTTGCCACCGGGATCGGCTGCGCGAGCCGCGGCGCGGCAGACCCGGTGCCCCTCAAGCGCCGACGTGGAGGCGCAGAGCTAGGCGGAACATGATTCGGTTGAGCCCAAGCGGGTACGGAGTCTTGGCCCACCTGTGCTTGAGCCAAAATGGCTTTGGAGGAGGAGGGAGAGGAGGCGGATGATTAGGAGGAGGCGGAGGCGTCGGAGGAGGAGGAGATGACGAAGAATCCAGGCCTCCCAAGTGGGGGCTTGATTAGATGGTCACCGAGCACGTGCCCTTCCCGCAACGTGCCTCTTCGCAAACGTTCAGAAAACACATATTCTCCTCGATGTAATGGATCGTTAATTCCTTTGCGGCGGATCCAGGCAATCTGCGAGTAGTTTCTTTGCGGGTAGTGGAGCGCGCTTGTCTAGATGAGCTCCCCGGATCCCCGATTCGGGCCCTGGGACCATCACAGATCGATCCGGCTCGAAAACGCGATAGCAAGAGAGGATCTAGCGTTGCGGTCGTGATTGTTGACGATGGGGAAGCGATCATACCCCAAGACGGGGAGGATGGAGGAGTAATCGGAGGAGGAGAAGAAGGATGGGGAGGGGGAGGGGAGGGGGAGGGGGAGGGGGAGGTGGAGGGGAGGGGAGAGGGAGGGGGAGGGAGGAGGAGGGAGGAGATGAAGATGAAGATGAAGATGAAGATGAAGATGATGATGAAGATGATGATGATGATGATGATGATGATGATGATGATGATGATGATGATGATAATGATGACGATGATGCTGATGCTGATGCTGATGCTGATGCTGATGATGATGCTGATGCTGATGTTGATGCTGATGTTGATTATCATGATGATGCCGATGATGATGCTGATGATGATGAGGATGGTGGTGGTGGTCGTAATGATGATGATGAAGACGATGCTGATGTTGATGGTTATGACGATGACGATATTGGTGATGATGCTGCTGCTGATGATGATGCTGATGCTGATGATACTGCTTCTGATGATGATGCTGCATGAGGATGATGATGATGATGACGGTGATGATGATGATGCTGATGATGCCGATCATGATGAAAATAATGTTGATGATGATGTTAACGATGATCCTGCTGATACTGATGCGGATGATGTTGATTATGATTACGAGGGTGAGGATAAGTATTATGGTGATGCTGCTGCTGCTGATGATGATGATGATGATGATGATGATGACGATAAGGATAATGCGGATGATGCTGCTGCTGATGATGATGCTTCTGCTGCTGATGCTGATGATGATGATGAGGAGGATGATGACACTGATGGTATGATGATGATGCTGATGATGATGATGATGAGTATGCTGCTGATGATGATGATGATGATGATGATGATGATGCTGGTGATGATGATGATGATGATGCTGATGATGATGAGGATGCTGATGATGATGCTGCTGATGATGATGCTGATGCTGATGATGCTGTTGATGAGGATGATGATGATAATGCTGATGCCGATGATGATTAGGATGATGATGATGATGATGATGATGATGATGATGATGATGATGATGATGATGATCATGATGATCATGATGATGATGATGATGATGATGATGGTGATGATGATGATGATTATGACGATGATGCTGCTGATGCTGCTGCTGATGATGATGATGATGATGATGATGATGATGGTGGTGGTGGTGGTGGTGGTGTGGTGTTGATGCTGATGATGCTGTGTGATGATGATGATGATGCTGATGATGATGATGATGATTTGAAGATGATGATGATGAGATGATGATGATGATGATGATGATGATGATGATGCTGATGCTGACGTGATGCTGATGCTGATGTTTGATGATGCGGCTGATGCTGCCGAGGGGGATGAGCGAGATTGCAGGGAGGGAGGAGGAGGAGGAGGAGGAGGAGGAGGAGGAGGAGAAGGGGAGGAGGGTGTGGCGGATGAAGGAGGAGGAGGAGGGAGGAGGCGGGAGACGAGGATGTGAAGGAGGAGGAGGAGGAAGGAGGATGGGGACAGGAATAGAGGGCGGGAGGGAGGAGGAGGAGAGGGTGGGGTGGTAGGAGGAGGAGGATCATGGAGGAGGAGGAGGAGGAGGGGAAGGAGGAGGAGGAGGATGTTCGAGGATAGGAGGCGCGGAGGTGGAGGAGGAGGAAGGAGTGAGGAGGAGGAGGAGGAGGAGGAGGAGGAGGAGGAGGAGGAGGGGGAGGCGCAGGAGGAACGGAGGAGGACGGCGAGCAGACAGGCCAGAGGCTTCTTGGATACATCGCGGATTCGCTTCGTTTGTCTCTCGGGAGTTTCTGGGAGTTCTCTTGGGGCGTCCAGGGGGTCTTTGGCTGCCCCGGCGGCCCCTTGGAGCGTCTTGGGTGCCTCGGGGGAGCCTCTTGGGGCCTCTTGGGGGTCTCTTGCGAGTGTCTCGGGGACCTCTTGGGGCCCCCCTAGGGGCCTCCTGAGCGCCTTGGGCCCTCTTGGGGTACTCTTGGGAGCCTCGGGGGCCATCTTGGGGCCACCCAGAACCTCAGTAAAATATCGATGTTGGCCTTCTCTCCAAGGCCAACGGAGACCCTCTGACACCTCGCGAACCGCCCCGTCCAGGTCGAGGGGGGGGGGGGGTAGGGGGAGGGGTCAAGACTCAGTCCCCGCCCGCAAACCGTCTTGCTCACTCCCACCCGCCCTCCCAACACATACGTAGCACCCGAGTCTGGCCCGAGCCTCAGCATATTCAGCAGCCGTCTTTGGATGGGCAGCTACTGGGGGCCAATCCGCCGCCGCCGCCGCAGCCACCGCCGCCGCCGCCGCCGCTGCCCGCCGCCGCCGCCGCCGCCGTCGCCGCCGCCGCCGCAGCCGTTCGCAGCCGCCGCCGCCGCGCCGCCCGCGCCCGCCGCCGCCGCCGCCGTCTTCCGTGCCGAATCGCCGCCGCCGCAGCGGTGCCGCCACCAGCCGCTGCCGCCACCGCCCACCTGCGCCGACGCCGCCGCCGCTCGCCGCACCGCCGCAGCCGCCCGCCGCCGCCCCCGCCGCCGCAGCCGCAGCCGCAGCCGCCGCAGCCACCGCCGCCGCGACCGCCGCCGCCGCAGCCGCCGCCGCCGCCGCCGCCGCCGCTAAGTGTACCCTGTTTTTTTGACGGGCGGTGGGGGGAGGCCGCATCGGGCTGGCTGCGCATGCTCCGAATTTGGAGGCAGCGTGTGTTTTGTATGGTTTTTGTTTGCAAGGGATGGTGGTGGGGGGGCCTTAATGGTTCCTGGTTGGCTAATTACCAGTCGCCTGGGGGAGGGGGTGTTTCTTCATAGGGAACAGTGATCAAGCTACCCACCCGCCCGCAAACCGTCTAGCTCATTCCCACCCGCCCTCCCAACACATAAGTAACACCCGAGCATGAGCACGTTCAGCGGTCGTCTTTGGATGGGCAGCTAATGGGAACCAAAGCCGACCCCTGGGCGGGGTGCCACGCGTGCCAGGCGCGCCGCGCGCGACAGGCACCCTTGGGGTCCGATCGTGCCAGGCACGCCTGGTACGCTAGATGCGCCACGTGCTCCGCGTGCGCCAGGTGTGCCGCACACAGCCAGGTGCGCCACGTTCGGGGCATGTGCAGAATGCGTCAGGTGCGCCTGCGCACGTGGCAGCAGCGGGAAACATGCCGGCCCCCGCCATCCTTGTCGAATGCCAATGCCCATCATTGTGCCTGGTGGGCCTGCGCCCAGCAGGCCACGCGCCACCACCCCCACCTTCCCTGTCAAAAACCATTTGACAGTGATCGCGGGATGGCCGCGCATGATGCAGATTTAGCCGCGAGGTGCATATTGTATTGTTTTTTATGTGTCAGGGATGGTAACCCTGCGCGCAGCAGGCACTATGTTGACACCCCCGCCGTCCCTGTGAAAACCCAGACAACGTGCTCGCTGTCCACACGAACATGACTCAAGAATTTGCCCCAAAATGTATGTAGCATTGCTTCTTGGCAGGAGTAGTGGGTGGGGCCGCATCGAGTTGGCCGCGCATGCTCGAAACGTGGAGGCAGAGTGCGGTTTGTATTGTTTTTGACAGGCGTGGTTTGGGGCGGGCCCGCATGGAGTCGGCATTGTTTTGGGTTGTCCGCTGGCCGGGGTGGGGGAGGGGCTGCACACTAAAAAGGAACAGTGATCTCAACACCACCTGGACCCCAATCTAGCAAATCGTCTAGCTCACTCCCACCCGCCTTCCCGAAGCATAAATAACACCCGAGCCTGAGTATGTTGAGGGGCCGTCTTTGGATGGACAGCTATTTGGAACCAAAACCGACCCCAGGGGCGCGACGCTTGAGCGAGGTGCGCCACGCGCGACAGGTACCCCTGGGGTCCGAGCGTGCCAGGCACGCCTGGTGCGCTAGATGCGCCACGTGCTCCGCGTGCGCCAGGTGTGCCGCATACTCCATCCGCGCCAGGTGCGCCACGTTCGGGGCACGTGCAGAGCGTGTCAGGTGCGCCTGCGCACGTGGCAGGACCCATCGGGAAACATGTCGGCCCCCACCATCCTTGTCGAATGCCAATGCCCATCATTGTGTCTGGTGGGCCTGCGCACAGCAGGCCATACGCCACCACCCGCCGTCCCTGTCCAAAACCACTTGACAGTGATCGCGGGATGGCCGCGTACTGTCCATATTTAGCCGCGACGTGCATTTTATATTGTTTTTGTTAGGGATGGTAGCCCTGCGCGCAGCAGGCAATAAGCTGACACCCCGCCGTCCCTGTCAAAAACAGTACAAAGTGCTCGCGGGCCTCACGAACATGACTCAAGACTTTGCTCCAAAGTGTGCTTTGTGAAATTTGTTACTGGGATGTGGGGGCGGGGGGGGCGCGTCGAGCTGGCCGCGCATTTTCCAAATGTGAAGGCAGAGTGCGGTTTGCACGGTGGTGGGGGGTGGAGCATGGTTCCTGGTTTCGGTCGCCTGGGGGATGGGGTGCTTACTAATAGGGAACAGTGATCAAGCTACCCTCCTAGATAGCAGGCCGTCTAGCCCACTCCCACCCGCCCTCCCTACACGTAAGTAACACCCGAGAGTCAGCACATCGCTTAGGCACGCCACACATGCCGTGCGCGCCACGGGTTCCAGGTGCACCGGGCACCCTGGAGGCCCAAGCGTGCCAGGGGCGACACGTGTTCCATGTGCGAGGGGTGAGGACACCCTCCCCGCCCGCAAGCTGTTTCGCTCTTTCCCACCCGCCCTCCACACCTGTGAGCTGCAGGGGGGATCGGAAGCTCGGGCCCTGCCCGCTCCCAGAGGCACGCCGAGCAGCTGCTTCCTGGCGGCGCCCCGGGCGGCCGGCGTCGCGGCCGCGCTGGCCCTTCTAGTGGTCAGCGGCGGGAGGGGGCGAGGAGGAATGGGGGGTTAGGCTTCGAGTCGGCTGGGGGTCTGCGGTGGCCCAGCACCAGTTCCGCCCGGCAGGAAGGGGGGGGAAGTGGCTCGAGGTCCGGGCCAATGAAGTCTCTGCTGTCCTCTTCGGCCGCCGGGGGCAGTCTTCGGGCCCCGGGACCGACGACGAGGGATCCTGAGTGAAACATTGCAGTCGATGGACCCAGGGAGGGGTCTGGGGACCGATTTTGAGCGGATTCGGCTTGGCCTCTCCCGCAGTATTCTATTTCCTGGGGCCCACTCCAGTTCAGACCCTCCGGCCGCCTCCCAAGCTAGTAGACAGTATCTTTCCAACTGCCCCCATCCCCGCGGGGCCATGGCCTCTCAGCCCCACCATCCCACCCCCCCGCTTGAGGATAGACCACTCGAAGGCCGAAGGGAGCAGCCCATATCCCTATGCCCCCATCCAGGGGTGTACATCGGCCAGCGGGGTCCAGGCCACGCCTCCTCCTCTTCCTCCTCCTCCTCCTTCTCCCCCTCCCTCTCCTCGTCCTCCTCCTCTTCCTCCTCCCCTTCCTCCACCTCCTCTCCTCTCTCCTCCTCCCCCCCCCTTCCCCTCCCCTACGGTGGTGATAGGGATCGTTTGAACGATGCTCAGTTCGACAGGCCGAGGCATGATAGGAACGGCGGCGGCCCTGAGAGGTCAGGAGTTCCAGAGGCAAGGACTTAGGACTGGCCATCTCGATCGACGGCCTGCTGGTGAGTGTCAGCCCCAGGGCTTCAAGGCCTCATATTGGAATCTTCGGACACACATCCTCCCGTGGATCTCCTGCGCACAACTCGTTCAAGACGCCCCATGGAGGCTCCAAACTGTCCTCCGAGAGAGCCGCAATGAGGAGAAAGTATTGATTTTCAATCGTTTTCAATGCTTTGTAATTGGTCGTCTGTTCCGCTTCCCGGCGCGCGGGGACGGCCCAGGAGGCGTCCACGAGCGAGCCCCCGCACACCGCAAGAGGGTTCACCTCGAGCCTCGACCCTCCAAAGGGGTCCTACACTCGGCCGAGGAGCCCCAGAAAGCTGCTCAAATGAGACCCACAGCGGCCTCCACGATGGCCCCCACGCGGCCGCAACATCAGATTCCACAGGGCCTTCTGGGAACGTGACTCTCGTCGTCCCTCATCGGGCCAGAATGCTCTCCAGAATTTCTAAGTGTCCCGGCACAGCGACAGGGGCTCACAGAGGCCTCCACGAGGGCTCCCACACTGGCGCGCTTTCACGTTCCCACAGGGCCTTCCCGGAAGCTGAAAACGCACCCGTCCGTCATCGGAGCAGGGAGTTCTCTAGCCAGAGGTTGGGGGGTGCGATCATAGTGGTCCGGAGTGCCCCCCACTGGAAAATTTGTTTTGGTTTCGTGTCGTGCGTGCGGGCGAGGCGAAGCTGCGTGGGCGCGCGAGAGGAATGACCCCGCCGTCGCTAAAGCGATTCGGATGCAGTGGACTACCCCTCGGCCCCTGGTAGGCGCGCGATGGCCCAGGGTGTCCGTGTTGTCCTGTGGTGACCCGTTGGTGTCTGGTTGGTGTCCCGTCGGTGTTCTGTCTGCGGTGGGCGTGCGATGGCCCAGAGTGTCCCGCCTTGGCATCGATAGTGAAGTCGATCGTTAGATCGATTTCGAGATCGCGAGAGTGGGATGGATAGTGAGATCAAAAGTGCGATCCACACTGAGGTTGATTGCGACAGTAGTTGTGAGATCAATTGTGAGATCGACAGAGGCATCGATAGTGAGATCGATGGTGAGATTGATCGTGAGGTCGAAATCAATACAAATACATGATGAGATAGATAGTGATATTCATAGTGCGCCTGATCGAGTGTGATCGATCCTGTGAGATGGATAGTTTAATCGATCGAATGAGATCGGAAGCGGGACGACAGTGACATTACATTGCAGCGCAACATCGTCATCACGCGTCGTCGCTAGCTCGAGAGCGCGTCACCAGGATCGTCGTCATCATGGCACCCATCGCATTTGCCAGCAGTCGGTTATTCCCCCCCAGCCCCCAACCTCCTTCTCACCCGAAGGTTGGTCGTATAGCTATTTCTTCGTGTTGCCCTTCAGAGCCCTCTAAAAGCATCTTGGCATCCAGTCCGAGGCAGACACGGTGCGAAGGAGGATACCTGGCAAGCCGCATTTTCTGGTATCCTGGGGCCTCTCTTCTGGCATCCCGGGGCTCATGTCTCTTCACCGCGATTCCGGGGTCAATTAGCAAGAGGGCGTCATACAGTCAAGACGCTGACAAAAGGAACAGTGCGGGTTCGGAAGGGGCTCGATGTTCCTTAGGCTCCCCCCTTGCCGTTCCTCTTGCCCTCCTGGGGCACGGAGGCGCTTACCGGGCCAAGAAGGGGCTTAGTTCCTTATTTGGCGTTCCTTCCGCGGCCAGACTGTAAGTAGGGGGCCACATGCGAGCCCTGCCCCTCCCCCCCACGATGTCCGAGGGGGAGAGTGGGGTCCACTTCGCTCGGGAGCCCCCGAGCGAGGTGAACGGCACTGGGGTAGGGTTCGCATGTGGCCCCCTAGTATCTGGACGCCCGAAATGGGCACGGAAAGAATGGGTACGATGCCAAAAACAGCAGTTCCTGTTCATTTCGAACAGGATTCGCTGTCCGCGCCGCCGCGGCCTGTGTCCATTCGAGGCAGGAGGCCGCCTGCCCAACAGCGGCCGCTGTTGGTTTGGGGCAACACTTGCTGCTGGGCATTGTACCCATTCTTTCCGTACCCATTTCGGGCGTCCAACTAGTAAGACGACCCAGGTGGCGCCCCGGGTCGCCCCAGGGGACTCCCGCGGGGCGGCCCCCCCGCCACATGGGGGCCCCCGCACGCGGCCGAGGCCCGCAGGGCCCCTCGGGCCGTCGCCGGCTCCGCGGCCCGGCGCCCGCCCGCTTTTTCGCTGGATCAAGGGGCTCTCGCGTCGTCGCCTGCTCCGCCTGCTCGACGCGCGGAGACGGCACAGTCTGCGGGGGAAAGACTTATATCCATCTCCAGTGCGTCTCGATTTTTTTTTGGAAGAAGCGCCTCAAGGCCGAGGCGCACTGGATGTGGATAGAAACCTAGCCTCTACGGTGGGCAGATTTATCCATATACAGTGTGCCTCGGGTTTCTGGGGAAGGGAACCCGAAACTCCATACTGCAGTGGATATGAACAGAAGTATTGCCCGCACAGTCGGGGGTGGACAGAACCCCCAACAGTGACACGTCGACTGGTGGATTGTCCGTTTGCGGTTCTCGAGGGGGCGCCGGGGCCGTTCTTTTCCAGGCCTGCGCCCGCCAGGTTTGGGCCTCGGGTCGTTTTCACGAAACCACGCTTTACTAAAGGGAGATCTGTCCACCCCCGACACAGGGGCGCCCAGCAGGGCTCCAAGACACCCCATGCGGGCGCCAGGAGGGCCCACGAGGCGCCCAGGAGCGCCCGCGCAGGCTCCTGGTGGCTCCCCAGTGTGCTACACTTCCTTCCCCCTCCCCCGCCGCCGCCAGGCTGACTCGTGACAGGGCGGTCAGGAGAGTCGCATCCCCCAAGCTGGCCGCTCCGTGGTCGCTGTGCTTACCAGGAGCTGGTTCCGCGGGGTCTTCAGTACCTCATTGCAGGATGAGGATTAAGACATTGCCGGGGGTCGTGTTCACGCGGCGTTGCTTGGGATTATGAGTAGAAAAAACAGCCCCGGGACGGGAATCTTTCTGCTCAATCGTTACCCCCCGCCTTCCTTGGGCGCGCGCGTTCCGCCTCTTTTTTTTACTCATCGTCATCTTACCTTACTCCCCCTCTCCCTCGGGGCGCCCCGCTCGCGTGGCAAGAAAGTACCCTCGCCCCCCCCATTCGGCCACGCGCAGAAAGGGAGGTTGGGGGAGGGGGGCGTGCTTCTCAGAGGCACCTTTGCTCCTTAGAAAGCGCGGGCCTTGTCTGCAGATGGCAGGCCAGCGTCTTGTCAGAACCGGCAACCTTCTAAGAAGAGTTGTCCCCTCCCCTCTCATCGCGCGCACTCCACTACTCGCAAAGTGCCTGCTCGCAAGCGTCCGAAAAACACATGTCCGCTTTGATGTAACTTATCGCATATCCTCTGCGGGGGAGCCAGGCCATGTGCGAGGAGTTACTTTGCGAGGAGTGGAGCGCGCTCGTCTACCCTCTGCCCCCCCCCCCCCGTGCGCGCCGCCAGACTCAGGAGGGAAAACACACACAGACACAATTAATCGCCGACTCCCAGGAACATATGGGAACATCTGTGAAGTGGGGGGGGGGGAAGACGAACATCCAGAAAACATGGGAAAATATGGGGCATCCGGTTGTTTGTGTGCATTTGTTTGTGTGTCGTTGGGCCCCTACCCTCTGCCTGCCCCCCCTCTCGTTCGCGCCGCCAGACGGAGAGCTCCCTCCTCCCGTAGATGGACAAAAAAGTGGAACCCTTGACACCACGCCCCCCCCCTCCCCCCAATTTCAAAGTTGGCCTCAAGCATCTGGCAGCACAGGCGTGATAGGACAAAAAAAGTGGAACCCCCTGGGCCTCCGAGAGGCCGATCCCAACTTTGAAATTGGGGGGAGGGGGGGTGGGGGGCGAATGCGGGGCCGAAGACGAAGGGGTCAATTCCCAACCATCCTGTGGTGTTGGGTCCTCGTTTTGAAGAGACGGTGCCCCGCGTTTCTCCTCCTCCTCGCCCTCCTCCCCCTCCTTGCCTCTGCTCTCGGCACACCTCCTTCACGCGTTTTCGTAGCCCCATAGGGAGCTCCACGAAGGCCCCAGGGGGGTTGTCCACATGCGTGTTTGCCCACCCAGGGGCAGCGTTCGCCTAGCCCCAGGGAGCTCCACGATGGCCCCTGTGGGGGTGTCCACATGCGGTTCCCCACCCAGGGCCAGCGATTCGTAGCCCCAGAGGGAATACTCCACCGATAAGGCCCCAGTGGGGGGGTGTTCCTCATGCGGTTCCCCCACCAGCGGCAGCGTTTCTAGCCAGAGGTGAAGCTTCCACCGAAGGCCCCAAGTGGGGGTGTTCACATGGCGGTACCCCACCAGGGCAGCGTTTACGTGCCCCTGTGGGAGGTCCTCCGAAGGCCCAGTGGGGTTCACATTGCGGTTCTCCCCACCCAGGGCAGCGTTTCGTGGCCCCATAGGGAGCTCCACCGAAGGCCCAGTGGGGGTGTCCACATGCGGTTCCCCCACCCAGGGCAGCGTTTCGTGGCCCCATAGGGAGCTCCACCGAAGGCCCCAGTGGGGGTGTCCACATGCGATTCCCCCACCCAGGGCAGCGTTTCGTGGCCCCATAGGGAGCTCCACCGAAGGCCCCAGTGGGGGTGTCCACATGCGGTTCCCCCACCCAGGGCAGCGTTTCGTAGCCCCAGAGGGAGCTCCACCGAAGGCCCCAGTGGGGGTGTCCACACGCGGTTCCCCCACCCAGGGCAGCGTTTCGTAGCCCCAGAGGGAACTCCACCGAAGGCCCCAGTGGGGGTGTCCACATGCGGTTCCCCCACCCAGGGCAGCGTTTCGTGGTTTCATAGGGAGCTCCACCGAAGGCCCCAGTGGGGGTGCCAGCATGCGGTTCCCCCGCCCAGGGCAGCGTTTCGTAGCCCCAGAGGGAGCTCCACCGAAGGCCCCAGTGGGGGTGTCCACATGCGGTTCCCCCACCCAGGGCAGTGTTTCGTAGCCCCAGAGGGAGCTCCACCGTAGGCCCCAGTGGGGCTGCCCTCATGCGGTTCCCCCACCCAGGGCAGCGTTTCGTAGCCCCAGAGGGAGCTTCCACGAAGGCCCCAGTGGGGGTGTCCACATGCGGTTCCCTCCACCCAGGGCAGTGTTTCGTAGCCCAGAGGGAGCTCACCGTAGGCCCCAGTGGGTGTGGTCCACATTGCGGGTTCCCCCACCCAGGGAGCGTTTCGTTAGCCACCAGAGGGAGCTCCACCGATGGGCCCCAAGGGGGTGCCCGCATGTCGCGGTTCCCCCACCCAGGGCAGCGTTTCGTAGCCCAGAGGGGGAGCTCCACCGAAGCCCCCAGTGGGGGGGGGGGGGGGGTGGGGTGGTGTGGTGTGGGGGGTGGGGGGGGGGCTCTCGCTTGCGGTTCCCCCACCCAGGGCAGCGTTTCGTAGCCCCATAGGGAGCTCCACCGAAGGCCCCAGTGGGGGTGTCCACATGCGGTTCCCCCACCCAGGGCAGCGTTTCGTGGCCCCATAGGGAGCTCCACCGAAGGCCCCAGTGGGGGTGTCCACATGCGGTTCCCCCACCCAGGGCAGCGTTTCGTAGCCCCATAGGGAGCTCCACCGTAGGCCCCAGTGGGGCTGCCCTCGTGCGGTTCCCCCACCCAGGGCAGCGTTTCGTAGCCCCAGAGGGAGCTCCACCGAAGGCCCCAGTGGGGGTGCCCGCATGCGGTTCCCCCACCAAGGGCAGCGTTTCGTGGCCCCAGAGGGAGCTTCACCGAAGGCCCCAGTGGAGCTGCCTGCATGCGGTTCCCCCACCCAGGGCAGCGTTTCGTAGCCCCAGAGGGAGCTCCACCGAAGGCCCCAGTGGGGGTGTTCGCATGCGTCTCCACTACCCAGAGGTAGCGCCGCCGAAAACGATATTCACACTTGCTGTATTCACAGTTGCATATGGTTGGGTCCTTCGCCAGGCTAATTTTTTTGTCCCCTTACCGTCCCCCCCCCCAGTCGGAGGCCACCTGCGGCCTCCTGGCGGCCGGGGGGGCGGCCCCGTGGCGCGGCCGCGCGGCGGCGCAGGATGCGCCGCACCGCCGGGAGCCCCGCCCCCCCCCCCCGCTCCGTCGGGCGGAGGAGGTGGGTGGTGAGAGGAGGAGGGGAGGAGGAGGAGAGGAGGAGGGAGGAGGAGGAGGATGGAGGAGGAGGGAGGAGGAGGAGGAGGAGGAGGATGAGGAGGAGGAGGAGGAGGAGGAGAAGGAATCCCCCCTCTGGGCCCGGAGGACCGGAGGAGGACCGGCGTGGGAGAGGGGAGGGGAGGGGGAGGAGGAGCCCCAGGGGCGCATGCGTATTTGACTCCCCTCCACCCCCCTGGGACTCCTCCCCACCTGGGAAGGATGACCCGAGGAGTAGAAGGGGGGTTACCTCAGAAGGGGGTAGAGAAAAGGACTCCAGAGGGGCCCTTGAGGGCCCCTCTGGGGCCCAGAAGGTGCTTCAGAGGGGGGTCCAGCAGGTACATGTTTTTTATCCACCCCCATGTAGGCCACCCCCCATTTCCTGAGATCGGACAGTGCGGAAAAAGTAGCAGCATCTCAACAAAAACACGACTGGATCCCCAGAGCCCATCTTTCTGCATTCTTTTTGAGCTGGATCGATCTGGGAGGGCCTTGGGGCCCGAACCGGGGCGACGCTTCCCGCTGTGCGAGCAACATCTCAGCGCCAGGATCTCAGGGCCACCACCCGCCCGACGCCCCTGACAGGCTCGCGTCGTGCAACATGCAGGACGGGAGGTCTTTCTCTATGTTTTCTGGGGCCTTCCCGGTGGCCCTTCCCCTGGCCGCCGGGGCCGTCTAAAAGAAAACGGCTTGGGGCGAGGCGCCGGCCCTGGGGCCTCCGGGGTCGAGTGGACCCGATGGGGGCTGGTCGTCGGGCTGTTCTTTTGGTCTGTTCGCCATGCTCTTCATAGGGCCGTGTATACTCCAGATTCCATGCTCTTCACAGGGCCGTGTATACTCCAGATTCCATAATAATGATTTGAGCTGTCTTGGAGGGTTCGGGGGGGTCTGGGCAAAGGGCCGCTGTTTCATGGATGGTCTGGGAGGGTCTAAAACTTCTCGTCTGGGAGGGTTGAGACCCCCTCCCTTTCGTTACGAAGTCTGGAGTATCTGGCCCCCCCTGGCCCTCCAGACGGCCCAGGGGCCAACCCGAGTTGTCGCCCCTCCGAGGTCCGAGCTCCGTCCCCCCCTATCGCAGGGGCACCCTGGCCGGCGAAACTATTTGTTTTTCCCAACCATCCTGTGGTGTTGGGTCCTCGTTTTGAAGAGACGGTGCCCCGCGTTTCTCCTCCTCCTCGCCCTCCTCCCCCTCCTTGCCTCTGCTCTCGGCACACCTCTCACGCGCTTCGTAGCCCCATAGGGAGCTCCACCGAAGGCCCCAGTGGGGGTGTCCACATGCGGTTCCCCCACCCAGGGCAGCGTTTCGTGGCCCCATAGGGAGCTCCACCGAAGGCCCCAGTGGGGGTGTCCACATGCGGTTCCCCCACCCAGGGCAGCGTTTCGTGGCCCCATAGGGAGCTCCACCGAAGGCCCCAGTGGGGGTGTCCACATGCGGTTCCCCCACCCAGGGCAGCGTTTCGTAGCCCCATAGGGAGCTCCACCGAAGGCCCCAGTGGGGGTGTCCACATGCGGTTCCCCCACCCAGGGCAGCGTTTCGTGGCCCCATAGGGAGCTCCACCGAAGGCCCCAGTGGGGGTGTCCACATGCGGTTCCCCCACCCAGGGCAGCGTTTCGTAGCCCCATAGGGAGCTCCACCGAAGGCCCCAGTGGGGGTGTCCACATGCGGTTCCCCCACCCAGGGCAGCGTTTCGTAGCCCCATAGGGAGCTCCACCGAAGGCCCCAGTGGGGGTGTCCACATGCGGTTCCCCCACCCAGGGCAGCGTTTCGTTTCCACCGAAGGCCCCGTATGCGGCCCAGGGCAGAGGGAGCTCCACCGAAGGCCCCAGTGGGGGTCCCCACATGCGGTTCCCCCGCCCAGGGCAGCGTTTCGTAGCCCCAGAGGGAGCTCCACCGAAGGCCCCAGTGGGGGTGTCCACATGCAGTTCCCCCACCCAGGGCAGCGTTTCGTAGCCCCAGAGGGAGCTCCACCGAAGGCCCCAGTGGGGGTGTCCGCATGCGGTTCCCCCACCCAGGGCAGCGTTTCGTAGCCCCAGAGGGAGCTCCACCGAAGGCCCCAGTGGGGGTGTCCGCATGCGGTTCCCCCACCCAGGGCAGCGTTTCGTAGCCCCAGAGGGAGCTCCACCGAAGGCCCCAGTGGGGGTGTCCACATGCGGTTCCCCCACCCAGGGCAGCGTTTCGTGGCCCCATTGGGAGCTCCACCGAAGGCCCCAGTGGGGGTGTCCACATGCGGTTCCCCCACCCAGGGCAGCGTTTCGTGGCCCCAAGGGAGCTCCACCGAAGGCCCCAGTGGGGGTGTCCACATGCGGTTCCCCCACCCAGGGCAGCGTTTCGTAGCCCCAGAAGGAGCTCCACCGAAGGCCCCAGTGGGGGTGCCCGCATGCGGTTCCCCCACCCAGGGCAGCGTTTCGTAGCCCCAGAGGGAGCTCCACCGAAGGCCCCAGTGGGGGTGTCCACATGCGGTTCCCCCACCCAGGGCAGCGTTTCGTAGCCCCATAGGGAGCTCCACCGAAGGCCCCAGTGGGGTGTCCACATGCGGTTCCCCCACCCAGGGCAGCGTTTCGTGGCCCCAGAGGGAGCTCCACCGAAGGCCCCAGTGGGGGTGTCCACATGCGGTTCCCCCACCCAGGGCAGCGTTTCGTAGCCCCATAGGGAGCTCCACCGTAGGCCCCAGTGGGGCTGCCCTCGTGCGGTTCCCCCACCCAGGGCAGCGTTTCGTAGCCCCAGAGGGAGCTCCACCGTAGGCCCCAGTGGGGGTGCCCGCATGCGGTTCCCCCACCAAGGGCAGCGTTTCGTGGCCCCACAGGGAGCTTCACCGAAGGCCCCAGTGGGGCTGCCTGCATGCGGTTCCCCCACCCAGGGCAGCGTTTCGTAGCCCCATAGGGAGCTCCA